TTTGAAAATGGCCACTGCAATCAGCCACCTGGTGGCTGCCTGCTCCAGCCCTTAAAGTGGCAAGCACCCAAGGCTGTGCTGCCACTATCAGAACATGGACCAGGGGCTTGAAGTGCCAGCAAAGCAGGTTTAGATTGGGTATTAGGAAAACCTTCTTTGCCGTTAGAACAATGAGGCAATGGAAAAGAGTGCCCAGGGAAGTTGTGGAATCTCCAGCACTGAAGTTATTCTAGAAGAGGTTGAAGCTATTCTAGAAGAGGCTGGATAAGCTTTTGTCCAGGGATGATGGATGCATAGCAATACCTATATTCCACTATGGGTATTTCCCATGCTTCTGGGCTTTTCTGGTTGCCATATGAGGCCAGGAAGGATTTTTCCCCTGCCTGCTGCTCCATGTGTCAGGGGCTTATTTTTCACTTTCCTCAGAAATATTAGGTGTTGGCTGCAATCAGGGCTGGGGATTTTGACTGGGGTGTGCTGAGAGGTTCCTGGCTAGGTCTTGTTCCTCCACTCGTGGTCAAACCAACTGTCATATTTGGGGTCAGGAAGAAATTGTGACTCATGATCAGATTGGTACCAGCTGGGAGTTTTTGCCTACCTCTGTAACGGGGAGTATAGCCCTCTTTTTTGGATCTCTTGCACATATTTTAACAACCTGTGCAGCAGCATGACATTGACCACTATGGTCCCTCCTGCTTTACCTGTGGTAGCTTAGGACTGGGTCACAACTGACTCTGTAGTGTTGCTTATAGGTTAGACAAAGGTTAGACTTTTCTGTGCTTCTGTGACACTGCATTTTGTCTTATCTGTTTCGCTATGAATTTCTCCCTTGGGCAGAGGATTAGTATTTGGCTCTGTCCCACTTCAATCCTGTTTTAAGACCTGACTAACAGTCACAAAATGCTGAGGATGCCAGGATGCTGCTTCTTTTCTGAAGTGCTCAGCATCTATATAGAGGAAGTTATTTACACTCGTTTAATCCCTCAAATTATAATCTGTAATTGAGGTCACTGAGATTTATTTGGCAAGTTTTATTCCCTGTTCCCTACACAAGGTGCCAGTAGTAGTGAGGGCAGCAATCATACTATCTTGATGCATACATTTAAATAGCATTCATCAGTGCTGTAACACCTTGGAATACTGAAAATGTTCCAGGAGCAATATATTAGGCCCTTGGGACCATATGCTAATGAGACACTTTTTTAATCTGATAAACAGGAGACTGATGTGGTACCGGACACACAGCTCTTGGAGAAATTCAATCACATTTCCTTTCATTCCTTTGAACAATCAGAAGAAATTGATAGAGAGCAGTCTTTGGAGACAATGTATATCACTGACTTCTTTCTGGCTCTGGCAATCTGTAATACTGTAGTAGTTTCATCCCCTAACCAACCACGTCAAAAGGTAAGAAAAAATTCTGTTACTCTGTGGCCAAAATTTGGGATGTTGAGGCATATTTATAGTTGTTATTGTGCTCCCTTATAGTACCTTTTTCCATGGAGTGAAGAAAAAGAACTGCCTTTTAAAAATGATCATTTTCTCCTTCATTGGTTTGCTGCTTTTGCCAGAAGGAAAAGAACACCTGTATTGTTAAAACTGCACTGCCCAGCAAGCTAATGCATAATATAAACCTAGCAAAGGTTTCCAGTGAAGTGAAGCTTGTCTTGAATACATTTGACTTTCACATATAAATAGTCTGTTACTTTTACAAGAGAGATGCTCTGAGACTAAATTGAATTTGCAGTTTTTATTATGTTCTAGTGACTATTAAAATGCCCAATATTAATACCTCATCCAGAATGAAAAATCTTCACCAAAGAAAACTGTAGCTATATCCTAGCATCATAAGAAAGTTAGGGAGTGCCTGCTTTTCAATTTTTTTACAGTAATAATAATAATAAAACATAGATTTGACAACCTAGGATTTGTTGCTGCTCAGCAGCTGTTTTATGGGTAGTGCTATCCTCCCTGTAGTAATGATCACTTTATACATCTGATTAGAATTGATCCTTAAAAAAAAAGAAGTTAAAATGAGGACAGCCTCTGAGTGACCACATTTGAACTTCCTATAAAACCATTTGAACCATGATTGAGCCTAGTGATTACTCTAAATAAATGTTACTTATAAGAACCTTATTTCTCCTGCTAAATTGCGACGTTTCGGTGATTACTCCCATTGTTTATACAGCTTGGATTTTAGTGTTAGAACTGGCCAGCTAAATACATAGTTTGCTCTTTATAGATTTCATGGACACTAGAGCTGGAAGGGACCTCAGAAGATCATAGAGTCCAGCCCCCTGCCCCAGGGGCAGGAAGCCAGCAGGGATCATAGGATCCCAGCAAGATAAACATCCAAATGTCTCTTGAAGGCATTCAAAGTGGGTGCTTGAACCACCTCCAGCTGCAGTCTATTCCAAACCTTGGGAGCTCGGACAGTAAAGAAATTCTTCCTTGTGTCCAGCCTGAAACAGTCATGGAGGAGTTTGTGACTGTTCGACCTTGTCATCACTTGGGGCGCTCTGGTGAACAGACATTACCCCAGATCCTGGTGAGCACCCCGATAAACTTATAGGTGGCCACCAGGTCACCCCTGAGCCTGCGCTTCTCCAGGCTGAAGAGTCCCATAGCTCTCAGCCTCTCATCATAAGGTCTGTTTTCCTGACCTCTGATCATGCATGTGGCTCTCCTCTGGACTCTCTCAAGCTTCTCCACATCCTTTTTGAATTGTGGAGCCCAAAATTGGACGCAGTACTCCAGCTGCGGCCTCACCAAGGCCAAGTACAATGGGAGAATGATGTCCTGGGATTTGCTTGAGAAACATCTATGGAGGCAAGCAAGAATTTTGCTTGCTTTACTAGCTGCAGCATCACACTGAGGGCTCATGTTCATCTTGTGGTCAATCATGACCCCCAAGTCCCTTTCGTCTGTAGCACTAGCCAGCGTAGCGCTGCCGAGCCTATAAGCATCCTGCAGGTTTTTCTTCCCAAGGTGGAGATCCTTGCATTTTTCGGTGTTAAACACCATCAAGTTCTTGTCCGCCCATTTCCTGAGCCTGTCAAGGTCTGCCTGGATCACCCTCCTGTCCTCAGGTGTGGATGCTTTACCCCAGAGTTTGGTGTCGTCGGCAAACTTAGCCATTCCGCTTCTGACACCAATGTCCACATCATTAATGAATATGTTAAATAGTATAGGTTCTAGGACAGAGCCTTGGTCACAGCACACCATGACGATTGACTTCCGTCAACCACCACCCTCTAGGTCCTACTACAGAGCGAATTCCCCAGCCAGCGGATCGTGTTGAGGCCGCAGTTAGCCAGTTTTGCTAAGAGGTGATCATGGGATACCAGATCGAAGGTTTTTTTTAAAGTCAAGGTATATAACATCAGTCTCTTCTCCCTTGTCCAAGTGATAGGTCACCTGGTCGTAAAAGGAAATAAGATTGGTCAAGCAAGACCTACCCACAACAAACCCATGCTGGCTATTCCTCAGGATGTTGCCATCAGCCAGTCTGTTAAGAATGGCCTCTTTGATAATCTTTTCTAAGACCTTCCCCAGGATAGAGGTCAGGCTGATGGGCCTGTAGTTAGTCGGATCCACTTTCCTCCCTTTCTTGAAGATGGGTACCATATTGGACTTCTTCCAACCTTTGGGCACTTCACCAGAGCACCAGGAGTTCTCAAAGATCTGTGCCAGGGCTGAGCTATGATGCTAGCCAACTCAGTACCCTGGCGTGTAAACTGTCAGGGCTGGCTGATTTGAAGGTATCCAGCCTCTGAAGGTGTTCCTTCACGAGGTCAGCATTGATGGAGGGTAAGGAATCTCCCTCACCTGGGCCTCCCTGTCCCATAATGGGCAGGGGCGTCCCATGGGACTGGTGAAAAACCAACGCAAAGTACCCATTTAGCAAATTGGCTTTTTCCTGGGCTTTGGTTGTCAGTTGTCCCATGTGGTTTAGCAGGGGTCCAGTGTTGCCCTTGCTTTTCCTCTGGTTCCCCACATATCTAAAAAAGGACTTTTTATTGTCCTTGATACTTGTAGCTAGTTGGAGTTCCGTCGCAGCCTTGGCTTTCCTGGTTTGCTCCCTGCAGGTCTGGACCAGAGCAGAGTAGTCCTCCTTGGTGGTGGATCCAGTCCTCCATCCTTTGTAGATCTTTCTTTTTAGACGCAGGAGATCTGGTAGTTCCCTGGAGAGTCAAGAGGGCTGCTGTACCCTTTTTCTGCCTTTCCTCCTAGATGGAATAGACTTTGCTTGTGCATCCAGGATGCTCCTTTGAGGAGCAGCCACTCGTCCTGACCTCCCCTCCCCTTTGGGTTGTGGCCCTTTAGGGCCTCACTGAGAAGCCTCCTGAGCTTGTCAAAGTCAGCTTTCCTGAAGTCAAGGACTTATGCATTGCTGACTGACTTGCCATCTTTACGGTGGATGGTCAAGGTGACCAGTTCATGGTCACTGTCACCCAGCTTCCCTTCGATCGTTAGGTTGCTGATTAGGTCGTCCCCCGTTGCCAGTACCAAGTCGAGCAGTGCTTTACCTCTCGTTGGCCCGTAGACTTCTTGCCTCAGATAGAGCTCATCCACACATGAGAGAAAGCTTTGCGGCCACTCGGATTTGGCCAAGCGCTCTTCCCACGAGATGTCTGGGTAGTTGAAGTCTTCCATGACAATCATGCATGGGGAGCATGCGGCCTCAGCCAATTCCCTGGCGAACTCCTGGTCAAGCTCTTGATCCTGGGTTGGAGGTCTGTAGCAGACTCCCACCATTGTGTCCCCTGTGCTGTGTTCCCCATGGATTTTAACACAGGGGGTCTCCAGTTGTCCACCCTGGGCACCAATGTCAGTGTGCAGGGATGTATAGCTTTCCTTAACATAGAGAGCTACACCTCCACCCCTTCTATCTACTCGATCCCTCCTGTACAGGGTATAGCCATTTATACCTGTGGCCCAGTCATGGGTGGAGTCCCACCAGGTCTCTGTTATCCCTATGACATTGTAATTGTTTGTGTTAAGCAGGAGGGCAAGTTCCTCCTGTTTATTCCCCAAGCTCCTGGCATTTGTGTAAAGGCAGGCAAGCCTCCCTTCGGGGGCCCTTGCCTTGCCTACAGCTCATTTCAGAGCTGGGGCGGGGATGGGCTCCCTTAAGTGCCTTGGCCTGCTGGCTCTGCAGGGGTTGCTCAGGGGGCCAGCAGTGACGGTATTCCTCCCATCCCCCAGCAGGCTTAGTTTAATTTATGTTCACAAATGCTCAGTTTGCCTGGACAAATAGATCGTTATAGGCTGATAATTGTCAGCACTGATGAAACCTTTTGCCCCGTTCTCTGATCCTCCTACTAGAGCTCTAGCAACAGCATGGGAGACAGTGTGATCAAGCAAAAATGCAACAGAGAAATGTATTGAGAGAATAAAATATTTCCTTCTTTTCTATACATCTGATAGAAAGAGGGACATAAACCTTCTCCTTTCTCTGGAGGATGCAGTGATAAACTGTATTGGGTTAATGATTTAGGGATTGCCTGCAATTTTACTGAGATCAGTATTGGATTTCTGCTGTGCAAGATACATTTACATGAAGGAATTCCTTGAATATTAGTGCTTATCAGAGACTCATTAGGTTTCTTTTCCTTACCCTGCATTGCACTGAGCCTGCAAAGGGACTCCATACTGAGCCCTGTTTTAACCACCTATGTAATCCAATGGATGATAATGAGTTGGATGCAAGTGAGGACAGAAATGACGCTAGTTTTGCACTCCCCCTGCCATTTCCCTTCACAGCAACAAAGGAGAATGAGCTTTCTAGAAACTCATTTCTTTGACAAGTCTTTATTCTAAACTGCTTGCTAGTACCTAGAAATTATTAACAGCATACCTAGATAAGCATGCATATGCTATTTACGTTTCTAATCAGAGTCTAGTAAACCAAGATAATAGCTCAAGCACCATGTGATATCTTGTTTTTCATGGAGGAGGGTGGAGAGGAAGTAAGAAGGGGAGTGTGCCAAGTGTATAAATCTATGTATCCTTAAGTTAATTTTAGCTGCTTGTCACTTTTTGTGGAACAGGTTAGCCCTCAAAGGCATCCTTGAAACTAGCAGAAAAGCACAGAAGCCTATTTGCTTTGACTTTATAAAAGATACAAAATATATCTTCCTCATTGTTTTGTTATTAATCCTAACTACTAGTAGTACATCACAACTATATATTAAAATTGGAAAGCATGTAATTTTACATGCTGCACAATTTTACAGTTGATGTTCTTTAAATATAAGTAGCTCTGGGCTGACCAAACTTACTTATTCAGTAATAAGTTATACTAAATTTGCTAAATAATACTGAATACAATTGAGTAACTGTTGCTAAATAATTTAAATGTAACCCCTCCCAGCTTTAAAGTTTAAATAGGCTATTTCTTCAGGAAAGAACTCAACTACTCCTTATTGACATAAAATATCTGTTGCTTTATGAAGTAGATTTAGCCTATCTCTGCTTTCACTGATTTTTTAAAAACTTTCTTTTATTGCAGATGAGACTTGCTCCCTTAGGTAGAATTCCTATTAAATCCCTTGAGGAAATAAAACAGATGTTCCAGAGATTATCCGTCCGAAGACTAAGCTCATCACCACTTCCAAGTGCAAAAGAATCCTCCTTCCCCGAGAGCTCTAATACTTTTGTGGGCAAACTTTCTATTTTCAGAGTGAAGCTGGCTTCACCTGCTGCTGAGGGGGTTACCCAAATGGCTAACGTACCCCAGACTGCTGATAGGCAGCAAAGCCCCAAAGTACCTCCCCCTGGAGAACAAGATTCAGTAGATGTAGCTGCAGGCAGCAAAACCTGTGATCCTGAACCATATCTTGAACAATGTCCTATAACTATGCTCCGCTACGAGGCTGAAAGCCCAGATGAAGCTGCAATGGTTTATGCTGCCAGAGCTTACAAATGCACTTTACAGACAAGGACTCCTGATCAAGTTACTGTGGATCTGGGTGCTTTAGGCTCTTTAACATTTCAACTTTTGCACATTCTGCCTTTTGATTCAGTGCGAAAAAGAATGTCTGTAGTTGTTAGACATCCTCTCTCCAACAAAGTGGTGATATACACAAAAGGAGCAGACTCAGTCATCATGGACTTGTGCAGCATCCCAACAGGTATCTGCAGAACATTGGTAGTTCTTGTTAGTCTGGTCTTTATTAGCCTTTGTTTTTTCTTTCATATTGCAATAATGTAATTGGATAAAAAGCTTTGAGTGATTTATAAAATAAGTTAATAAACAGAGCTGCCTCAATTAAGAGTTCACCTCTTCCTGTGTGATGGACAGCTGATACAGCTGAGAAATATAGAGAAGTCAGGGATCAAGTCCTCCATGCAATAAAATATCCAAGAGGTACCTAACTTTAAGAACCTGTATAGATACACTGGAGCCAGTGGAAGTGTCTGCACATGCCCCCCACGGCACAGTTGTTTCTCCACTATCATTTAGTACTTGCTTTAGGAAGTACTAAATGAAGGCCTAGTAACAGCCATTACTGTGCTGTCCCAGTGGCACATGGTTATTTTTAGCTGCTACATCACCATAGCTCATCATTACAGTAATGTAGCATTGGCATCACAGTTTGTGCCTGCTGACACTATGTTACTGTAGTAATGAGCTACATTGCCGTAGCTTGTTGCTATGGTGACATAGCATCACATGTAGATGCCCCCAGTAGGATTTTGCACATGCATAATGTTAAGGTACCTGCTTAAAGGCTTTGCTGAATTTGGACCCGTTAGTATGATACTAACACACTTTATTTTTAGTTATTTAAATTTGTTTAGAGTTAGACACTCCCTGGTCTTTATCTGTATGAATCAGTCTTACTTCACATAGAGAAACTGTAATATTGAATGCTGTCACCTGTTGCAGGGCTGTCTAACTTCTAAGCAGCTGGGACCCTTGTGCTGCACACTATGTGGGTGCCCCCACAACTCTGCATCACACATCCCACCACTGCTGCCCTGTATGCCCACTCAGCCCTGAGCTCACCCTCAGCTCCCTGTGCCATGCCCTGCTGTATCACACCACCCTGCCCTCTGAAAAGTGCTTAGAAAGCAAAAGCATGAGAATGGAGGAGGAGCCCGAAGACTCAAGATGCTGTTGCAGGCAGGAAAACAGGAGGGACTGGTGGCTGGGTAGGAGCCTGGAGGCTGTAACTTAACCCCTTGTGGACTACTGTTTGGACAGCCCTGACCTTTCACATCAACTCTGTGTAAAAACAGATCTTGTCCTCCCCTCTGGTACTAAGCACATCTGTATTCTGGCTGCAGAGTTCTGCAGCACATTTTTGTGCCAACAGGAAACCCTGGCTTCTGTAGAACAGTGGCATAATAGTTACCACTGTAGCGGTTAATCTATGCAGTATGGAAAACACCATTTTTACTGAGGGTCAATAAGAGTAAGACAACACAACATCATCATGTCTATACATGAATAGTACATATCTCATTTGGATTTAAATTGGATTTAAATCAAGGGAAGTTTTCTGTCATATCTAGTTTGGAAAACTAAGGTTTGTTTTTTTTTAAAAGTGTACAGTGTAGCTTAACTCCTCTCCCATTGAAATGAGGGGAGTTTGCCATTCATTTCAGTGGCAGATGAGTTAATGCAATACTGAGTTCCTATGAAAATCCTTCCCTTACATTTTTTGCCAACTGTGATGCTAGAGTATCCCCTCTTTGCTAACCTCTGACAGGCTTGCACATTCTGACATTCTCTAAACATTCAACCTGAATAATCCTGTGCAAATATTTGTTAACATTGAAGTCAAATTTATTCATTTTTTTAACTTTGCTTTAGCTCTGCTGCTGTGAAATAATGCTAACAAGTGTGTGTCAACAAACTGTGTTTTTACTTATTTTGTTATGTTTTGGATGTTTTTAGATGTTCATAGTTCTAAAATAAAACAAAAGAAAATTAAGGCAAGAACTCAGAAACATTTAGATGATTATGCCAGAAGAGGACTGCGCACGTTGTGTATAGCTAAGAGGGTAATCTTTTTTAATAGATTTATTGTTCATGAAATGATGTAATTATCTGGATTAGGAGTGTTAGCTAGGAGACTGGCACCATTACTTCTAAACAAGTACATGCACATCAGAACTAGAATTTTAGTTTAATGTAGGTTGATTTCAGGAGATATCAGTAAGTTAACCTGTATTGCTGCATAACCACTAGTGGGTGTCATTGAAAAAGGACAATTAAGCAGGGCTCAGAAATTGTAATGAACAAATAATTAGCTTGGGTTTCTGTGTAAGGCATGTGGGGACTTAGTAGAGTTGGGAAAATGCTCACAAACATATATTTTATTAGACTAACTGTACAATTCGTCTAATAAAAGATATCACAAAAAATCCTTGCCTCATATATTTCCTGGACCACTGTGGCAAAGCAGCAACACTCCAGCTGTACCCCAAAACATACATCATTTTTTCTGGTTTAAGATTTTAGTCAGACTTAGAATTCAAACAATCTCAGGCAAGTTTTGTAGCTTTGCATATGTAGTTCAGTGATCTGCGGTTTGGGTGTGACTCTGGACGAGATTTTAAGGTGCATTTTTCTTTGTGTTCAGTACTGCCCAAACAGTCTAGCTATGACATGACAGTGAAACAGAAAGAAAATCTCTGGACTTTGTGACATTCTAGAATTAATTAGAGCCAAGATGTTGAACACTATGTGTTTTGTTTCTCTGCATAGGTGATGAGTGATGAAGAGTATGCAGAATGGTTAAATAGCCATTTTTTAGCAGAAACCAGTATTGACAACAGGGAAGAGCTTCTGCTTGAATCTGCCACAAGGTTGGAGACCAAATTAACACTCCTTGGTAGGTAGAAAATGCCTACCCCACTTATGCTTTGCTATGCTAAACTGAATTTGCTTTTAAGGTGCATGTACTTAGGGGTCTTTCTATTTATATAAGATTTATTGCTTACTGTTGAATTACCCTAAATCTCTTTGGTAACTATAGGGCTTACTACAGATTCCCTTGAGAATATGTCTAGCCTTTCTGATATTTGTAGTGTGCTTGAGATGAAGCCTATATGACATCTTTCTACCTCGGAATAGACCAGAGCACTTGGGTATTGGCAGCAAAATTATGCACATACTAGAAGGTTGCAATGCATCATGAATTTGCATGCAAAAACACTTGCTGTGTTGCACAGACGTCCTCTCTACCTTAGCACTCAATCACTGTTGCAGTGCTGGTATAGTAGCCACAGAGGCACAGTTTGTATCACTAGACAGTTTGGTAGTACATGGCAGCCACAGTTCTATGCTAGCATGCTAGTTCAGCTATGGATTAATTGGGGAAAAAACTCCAGTATAGATGCATTCAAAGGGGGAGGGAGAAAAATGTCCAAAGGGCTGTAGAAAGCTTAATGACTCCAGGCAACTATACACAAATGATCTTCAAGAAAAGATTAAATACCTGATTATAAGAATGGAAAAGCAGCTGTTTTAGGAAGCAGACTAGGAGTGGCCTCTTCCTCCTTCCCATAAATAAGATAGTTGTGTCCAACTTTTAAACTTCTTGTTTTTGTATTTCCAGAACTTGTAGTTGCTTAGCTTTCTGTAGCGTTAAAGGCAATATGGTGCAGGGGCAATGATGGTGTTGGAAACCTTGCCTAGACCCGCCCCATCTACAACCACTGCATAGGTGAGGCACAATAGCAGTTTCTGATAGGAGAAGGAACACAGGCATTTTTGCCTCCTACCTTCTCCAATGAATGGTATGGAGGAGGCACAGTTCTTTCTGTTGCTCAGATACTGCTTTAGCCAGCATCCATGTGTTAAAATCCAAATCTTTCCTCTTGAAATCCTGGCGTATTCCATTCAAATGCTACCAGATAGTTTAGTGTTTCCCATCATCACCCTTCCCAAGCTTATCAACTAATTCCTTGTTCCAGGTTAATTTGCTTCTATCTTTCTAATCATTTGGCTTGATCAACCTGCTTTGTATCATAGGTGCCACGGGTATTGAAGATCGCCTGCAGGAGGGTGTTCCTGACACTATAGAAGCGTTACGAAAAGCAGGAATAAAAATCTGGATGCTGACAGGGGATAAAAAAGAGACAGCTGTCAATATAGCATATGCTTGCAGATTATTGGAACCAGATGACAAAGTCTTCACCCTCAAATCACAAAATAGAGTGAGTGGAAAATGAGAAATTTTTTTGCCGGAAATGAGAGGCTACCCTGTTAACACATATGCACACACTCACACCCCAGCATTTTCTAAGACATGAAAACTGAAAAACTGACTCTCATCCACACAGGAAACATTTTACATAGGTTTTCCAGCAATATAGGTCTTACTACTACCCCTAAAGGATTACTAATTTTTTCAATTGAAGGCATTGTCTTGTTTCTCTTGGCATTAGGGTAAAAAGTTGACATACTTTACCTATTTATAAAAGCTTGGCGAAAGCTAGAAGTTAAAGCATATTAATATTATAAACACCAGACTAAAATTATTGTCATGGAAATTGTACTGAATGTAATTTTTCCCCTGCTTTGTGTCATATCTTCCTTCAGCCCCACTTGATTAGCATTAATGTGCAAGGAATAATCTCATTAAGGAATATTGCACACAGTTTTTTCATAGAATTAATCCACTTACAATTTTAATGGAGAAAAATCTCCTCCCTCCCCCCTTTAAAAGATATGTCAGTGGTTTGGTAAATAAAACAGCTTAAAAATGCAGCTGCAGTAGGAATCAGGGTTAATCTTCCTTGATAATTGTGCCCTCTGGTGGATGTATATAGCTGTCTGGGTTTTGAGTCTCTGTTAGCTATTAAAAAGGATTTTTTTTTAAATGCCAACTGTGGTAGGTAAAGGTGACCTGCAAAGCATGTGTGGGCAGAGGCTGGGAAGGAATTTTATGCAGAAAGATTTTTAATGAAGTTAGGAAAGATTGTTTTTAAAATCTTGCTTTTTCTCTTACTTGTATTTTACAGCAGAAAATCAGGTTGTCTCTACCCTGGAAGTCTCTCTGCACTAAATAGATAGTTACTGTAACAACCAATTTATGGTGGAAGGGGGTTTGGTCAGATTTTGTGGAACATGTTTGATATTTATTTTTAGCACTTTTCTGCTTTGTGTGGTTAAATAACAATGTGGATAATGGGTAGAAAGGAATCACATTTTTGCCTTAGTTAAAGCGTTAGCCCTCACAGGAAACTGGCTCTCAAGTCTCCTAGCAGGGCAAGGGCAGACAGGACCTGACACTCTGGTTTCTTGGTAAAAATGGAAGCAGGCAGAACTCCCTTTCTGACAGAAAGACTGTTTTTTTAATAAAATGTAAAGTAGCACAAAAATGGCACAAGGCCAATTCTTTTGGAACCCCTCACTGTGACCAGTATCCTGGATCTGAAATGTATCCATGAGCTTCTCCCTTTCCAGATTAAACACACTGAGAAAACAAACAAGTCATAATTGAGCCTTATTTATATTACCTAATCCTTATTATGATTCTCATGTTTTCATTGACTTGTTCCAGTGTACTTCATTGCTTTTCCTCTTCACAGAACAGAATCTATGTCAAGCCATGCTTTTACAAGGTTAAGTAACAGACCCTTACCACAAACAGCACACCATATCCAACGTATTTTAAAAAAATAGGAGAAGATGAATTCAGGTCACCTCCACACACATAAAGTCCAGTCATAGTAAAAGAAATTACTAATATGTGCAGTTTGTGGCCTTTTGCAAGTGTAATTTATAAACTGGGAGTGGACCTGGTTTCTAGTTATATTAGCCTGACTGCCTTTCTCTATGCCTTTGCCTAGGATGCCTGCACATTGTTGATGAACAGTATTTTAGAAGCTATTCAAAAAAGCATTGATGCCAAAAACAATCACTGTCCCAAACTTGCAAGTGCATCTTCAGGAACCTCCACTCCAACTGCAGAGTTCAGTGCTGGCCTAGTAATTGACGGAAAGACTTTGGAATACACACTGCATGAGAGTCTGCAGAATATTTTCCTGGAGCTCACAGGAAAGTGTCGAGCTGTTGTCTGTTGTCGAGTGACACCCCTACAAAAAAGTGAAGTGGTCAGACTCGTGCGAAACAATCTGAAAGTGATGACATTAGCTGTTGGTGAGTATCATCTCCCTTCACACAAAGTTATCTCTGCTCCACTGAACAATATAATCCAAATTGTTCACCTTCAACGTTCTGTTGTGTACTTATGTTGCTCTGGCTTATCCTCATGTGAGACCAGATTCTCTCTGCATAAGCTGATATAAGTCCATTTAGTTAATGGCATTGCACCCATTCTTTCTGCCAAATGTTTGGCCCTTGAATTAGTTACTGGCAAACTCTTCATCCTTTGCTCACAAGAACACAGAGAGAGTAATGTTTAGCCTTGCACCTTTTTGGTTTATTTTTTTGTTAAGGAGTTTTTATGCCATTCTCCAGTACAAATCCCATATTGTTCTGCAGGAGAAGTGGGAAAAGATCCAAACTCTCTTGTATCTGACTAGCATTTAAAAAAACCTCACTGTTTTTCTGTTCCAGTGTATCAGTTAGTTTCTGAAAAATGTTACAACTATTATGCAGTTGGACAGTGCTTTTATAGGCTACACTATTGATTATAATGATACTCCTCTATATTCTGTACAGTTTTCTGGCATATTTATATTTTTTCACTACTTCCACATACAAGGCAATAGCCAACACAGTTGTTTCAATACTGCATTGAAAATAAGACAGTTTTCCTCTTGAATTTTTCCCTTGGAAGGTGATGGTGCCAATGATGTCAGTATGATCCAAACGGCTGATACTGGAGTAGGAGTCTCTGGCCAAGAAGGCATGCAGGTAGCATACACAAAAACAGCTGCAAATGACTTCAGACTCAATTTTGAATACATTCACAGTTCACCCTTGAGGCTTACACAATACATCAGTACATAGGGGAACTAGTTTGAGCTCACTCCCAGGCATGAATGCTCCTCCAGAAGCAGTCAGAGACTAAATGCTGTAGGGGCTCAGAACACTGAGCAAGGAAGTCTGTTACTCACTTTCTGGAGGACACAACAGTCTAAATTTAAATGGTTTCAGTGGAATTATGTGAGCTTAAGTAAAGGCAAAATGTAGGCTCTTGCACATAAGATGTTTGAGTAGCACAAAGACGCTCATATCCAAACGGAGAATTGGGTAAGGGAGTGCAGTACTATAGCATAAAATGCCCCACTGCCCCTTACGTGCCTGCATTTGATACTCTTTGTATCTGATGTGCCACACATTCAGGAGCTCCTTCTTTTCTGTGTGTGTTTTGCAGGCTGTAATGGCAAGCGATTTTGCAATTTCCCAATTCAAGCACCTCAGGAAGCTGTTGCTTGTCCACGGTCACTGGTGCTACACCAGGCTGGCCAACATGATCCTTTACTTTTTCTACAAGAATGTGGTAAGTGGCTTGGGTATATAAGGGAAAAGATACTTTGAGTATGAAAGGATACAACTATTCTTGCTTGGTTTTAATTGTTGATGCCATATTTACTCGAGTAAAAGACAAGGTGCCCCCTCCTCCTCCCCCCCCCCCACTTAACATACGGAACAGAGCCCCTCATCTTAGAATCAAGTATGAGGTGGCATGGGGTTAGGCAGCTGCTCCAGTTCCAGCTCTGGCCCCAGCACTGAGTCAGCACCAACCCCACTACACCTCCCCCACAGCCTCAGGCCCCCACTACCCCATCTCCTGCCTACACTGCTTCTCCCATCCTCCCACTCTTCCCCCTGTACCCACCACATTGGTTCTGGCGCTGACAGAATCCATCCCCACTGTAGCCTGGGGCTTGAGCATGGTCCCAGCCTGGTCCTGTAGCAGTAGTGAGACTTCAAGGGAGAGGAGACAAGGGGTTGGGGACCCAAGGCTGTGGAGGACAGAAGTGGCATGGAGAGGGAAAGAAGGAGGGGGTCAGGGCCTGAAGCTGTGGGGTATAGGCGGCAGGGGGAAAGCTGAATGCCTCCCCCCCTACTTGCCCCACAGCCTCCACACTGCTTGCCCCTACCATTTGTCCCCTTACTGCCTGTTTCCCACTGCTCCCTCCACCCTTACTTCTCCCTTACTGCCTTCCCAAGGCCCCCGCACTGCCTGCCTCATTACTGCCTCACTACCGCCTGCCCTACTGTGTGCTCCTCCACTGCCTCCCTCATTGTCTGTCCCCCAACTGCCCACAGTAGTGGGGGGATAAATTTAAGTTAGTTTCTATACACAGAAAATTATAATAAAGATATAGATTTTCCATGTATAGAATCTAATTAATGGGTGGGGGGTTATCTTAAATTCAGGGTCATCTTAGATTTGAGTAAATACAGTACATTCAGAGCACTTGAAAAAAGTTGTGGACATCAAGTGATTCGGTTTTCAAGTTTCATCAAGAGAGCCTGTACATCTGCTATGAGTTGAGTTCAGGGCTCCAGTTGCACTTAAAATCAATTAAACAGTGTATGTGTTACTTTGCAGGCATTACCAGCAGGTGGTAATGAGGTGAATATTTTAGTGAGTTATGCATGTGGATGACAGGTTTTGAAACATTCAGACATTTACAAATGAGATTATTTTGACAGAACAGTGCTAGCAAGTATTTGAAGAGCAACTATGTTTAATTCTAAAACAGTCCATGGATGAGATGTGTCATTTTTGACCAACAAAATCCTTGGCTGCTGTGGGTTTTATCTTACATATTTATTTATTTGATGTCTTTGAACTTTCAGGCCTACGTGAACCTACTGTTCTGGTACCAATTCTTCTGTGGGTTTTCCGGAACATCAATGACTGACTATTGGATTTTAATTTTCTTCAACCTCCTCTTCACTTCTGTGCCACCCATCATTTATGGCATTCTGGATAAAGATGTCTCTGCAGAGCTCCTCATGCAGCTGCCACAGCTTTATCTGACTGGTCAAAACTCTATGGTATGTTAATACTTCGCCCGAAGCAGGTTGAAACCCACAGAATATGAGCATTTTCCATTTTTTCCATTGCTTCATGTTTTTGTTAAGTCAAAACAAACAAGTTCAGAACCATCTTCCATATCTGGAACCATCTAGGCAAAGCTAAGTTATTTTTCAGACCTCCTACACTATGCTAGTCCTGTAGAGTGAAGAGATGATAAATTCTGGATAGAAGTGTGCTGGATGAATAATCTGTTACAGATGTGTTCTACCTTATTCATATTTATTGAGACAGCTATCAATAAGGTCCCTGGAAACTAAGACCCAGATACTTAAAGGGAGTTTTGCCTACAGGGCTTAAGTTTCTAATAATTTGGGTGGCCCTGGTAATAAGCATGGTATGAGAACGTGATTAGAATTTACTGTGCCTTACACAGAATAGCCAGATAAATCCTGGGCTCCCTTTTCTCTTTCATCTGTTTCATTTGCTCTTTCACAGGTCCCTCTGTATACACTGTTTTTTATATTTTCCTATGATGAAAATGAGAAAAATGACATTTGTCTGAAAAAATACTATTTTTAATTCAAAATTGGGAAAATTGTTCAGCCTCTCCCTGATCGCAGCTTTGCTTAGCATGATTTCATAGATTTCATAGACATTAGGGCTGGAAGGGATGTTGGGAGATCATCGAGTCCAGCCCCCTGCCCCAAGGGCAGGAAGTCAGCTAGCACTGAAGGATCCCAGCAAGATAGGCGTCCAAATACTTCTTAAAGGAGTCCACAGTAGGTGCTTTTACCTGGAGGCAGTCTATTCCAGGCCTTGGGGGCTTGGACAGTAAAGAAGTTTTTCCTTATGTCCAGACTAAAACGGTCTTGGAGGAGTTTGTGACCGCTGAACCTTGTCATCCCTTGAGGTGCTCTGATGAACAGTCATTCCCCCAGATCCTGATGCACACCCCTGATGTACTTACAGGCTGCCACCAGGTCACCCCTGAGCTTGCACTTCCCCAGGCTGAAGAGTCCCATAGCTCACAGCCTGTCTTCATAAGGCCTATTCTCCTGCCCTCTGATCATGCGTGTGGCTCTCCTCTGGACTCTCTCAAGCTTCTCCACATCCTTCTTGAATTGTGGAGCCCAGAATTGGATGCAGTACTCCAGCTGCGGTCTCACCAAGGCCAAGTACAGCGGGAGGATGACATCCTGAGATTTACGTGAGAAGCATCTGCGGATGCAAGCCAGAGTTTGGTTTGCTTTGCCAGCTGCAACATCACACTGGTGGCTCATGTTCATCTTGTGGTCAATCACGACTCCCAAGTCTCTTTCGGTCATGGTGCTAGCGAATGTAGCACTGCCAAGTCTATAAGCATGCTGCAGGGTTTTTTTCCCAAGGTTGAGTACATTACATTTGTCGGCATTGAATGTCTTCAGGTTTATATATGCTCACTTTTTGAGCCTATCCAAGTCAGCCTGGATCACCAGCCTATCCTCAGGTGTGGACGCTCTACTCTAAAGTTTGGTGTCATTGGCAAACTTGGCCAGTCCACTTCTGACACCAGTATCCACATCGTTGATAAAGACATTAAAGAGAACAGGTCGAAGGCAGAGCCTTGGGGGACACCACTGGTCACTGAGCGCCATGATGATTCACTTCCGTCAACCAGGAGCACTCAGCATACTATTAGCTCACCAGTTTTCCCACATACAAGGGCTGCAAACATCTTCAGACTGATTGTTCCTGATTCAAATGATGCTCCAGCAGCCTTCTGTCATTGAGCCTTAAGAGTTGCTTTAGTATGGGACAATATAGGGACATATTTTAAGTCAGTGGAGGGTGGACCAACAAAGGTGCAACACAAATTAGCCCTGCAGCCTCCATGACTGCTGCTCCAATCTCCTTCCAATGCCTGACCTAATGCTCTGCTTTCTGCTTCCTGCCCTGTCAGCTACTACTGCCTGTCTCCTCCCCACTCTGCCATGTGCCACACACAGAGGCTGTCTGTGTTACTTGTGGCATATATGCTACAGGTTGGCCACCCTTGTTTTAAAGTAGTTCCTTCCCAGATATTTCAGTGTTTTACTTAGAATATTTTGTATCATTTGGCTAATCTAGAAATACATTTTGCAAAGCCATATAGTCTCTCGAAGGGGTTATCACTGAAATCATTATTAAGTGGTATCCCACTTCATCTCTTGCTGTCATTGGAGGTTGGCATTTCTGAATGAAAAGCACAGCACACCATATTTCCTCACATATCACTTCCCTGCACTCCCCCCCCCCCCAAAAAAATAAATAAATAAGACACGCACCTTGTTTTTTGGAAGGTAGAATGTAGAATTTTTTTTCCAGGGTCATGGATTAGAGGTGGCTTTTTTTGGAGACAGTGTACTACAAAGTGGCTGCCTACTTTTCTCTCAGTTGGCAAACAGGAGACAGAATCCACCATTAACCGTTTCACAGCCTCCCTCAAGTTTGCAGCAACTTTTGGCTGAGCAGATGGTCAGAAATGAATTCAAGCTATGGTTAAGGGGATTAGTTTGTTCTTGAACCCCAACTCCTTTCCTTGTTTTCTTTGCAGGCCTACTCACCTTTAACTTTCTGGATCACCTTGCTGGATGCCTTTTACCAGAGTATGGTTTGCTTTTTTGTGCCTTACTTTGTAAGTAATGATTTTCAACTATATTTATGTATTTTGATAATTTAACTATTATTTTTAATAAGAAGCAATTTGGTTGCCCTGTTTCAAACTCATTTTAAAATGAGTATAATTATTGGAACTGCTTTGAACATTATGTATATAAAACTAACCAATGTTGCAGCAGTTAGTACAATGCAGTATATGATATATTAGGGATATATGCAGAGAATATATCCAGCTTCATACATCTCTTATTTTCCAGGCTTATTGTGGTTCAGACATAGACATCTTTTCTTTTGGAAACCCTCTAAATTTAGCAGCTCTCTTCATAATATTGCTTCACCTCCTAATTGAAAGTAAGACTTTGGTAAGTATTTCTTGCATGCTTTATAAAGGGTATAATTTTACCAGAAGGTGTTCAGTACTTAGTACAACTAAGGAAAGGGAAGAAATGTATATATGATATAGAAAAAATCTATTAAGCAATAAATACTGATCATTCTTTCCATGTGAGTAGCAAGTACTCCTGTCTCTGGCCTCATGGGAATACCATATTTTCTTGTGTGCAGCACAATCCCAAATAACACACGTATCTTATTTTTGGAAAGCAGAACATAGAAAAAAAGAGTTTTCCAGAGTCATGGTTGACTGTGTGACATAGATTAAGTCCTCTGGGGAACATAGAGTGTCCAAGAAGTGTGGCATCAGGAACTTCTTAGTGTGGCAGACAGTCTCCTGCAGTGCCACACTCCCTGGATACAAAACGTGTTTATAGATGTGCTCTGGGAGTAGGGGGAGAGTGGGGGCATCATACGAGCTTTAGTTAAAGTGTTCCTGCTACCATTTTTTAGGGTGGGGACACTGATACACATGACATTGGAGTCTGCTGGAGTGCAGTAATTACTATGCTGCAGCAGACTTAATTAATTGAGTCTGCTCTGACACACTGTAATTACAGTGCTTCAAAGTAGCCTCACTGCACATGTATAGGCACCCTTTATGTTTCTAGGAGGACTTAGTCTATTTAACACAAGGTTAGGCCCTAGACCCTTGCAAAGGGCTATAGCAAGACTGTTAGTTCTTTACTGTGAGCAGTTCTTTATATAAATTCCTGCAAATAAAGCATTGTTTCTGCATTGCAAGCTTCATTGTGATACTAACAACATCTTACTTGCTGCTTCAGGCATAAGCTATTGTGCTAAGCCAATAGTTATGGCTGTGAGAGAGTAAACACAAAATTCTGTCCCTTCAGCTTGCTGAGCAGATAGAAGTGGCAGCTGTCTTAGCAGCTGTATGACATGCACAGTGTCCCCAGGAGTGCTTCTTTTTCAGCAAAGAAAAGTGTTTCCTCCCTTAAAACATGCAGCATGGCTTGGTGGGGAGGAAGGGCAAGAGCAGGGGAAGAGCTATTTTTGTGGAAAGAAGTGCATGTTGTATACAAGAAAGTACAGTATTCACACTGCGAAAGTTAGCAAGGTCTTGCTCAAAACCTGTACATAAACATGGAGAACCAGACATTATAACTTCTTTTGCCTTTGTGCTCTCAGCTTAAGTTTTCCAAAAGGAAATAACAAACCATTGATATACTCTGCCTTTACAAATTCCAGTGCCTTGCTTCCCATAGACAACAAAAGTAGATTGTTCATTTTAAGTGCAGGGAACTGATAGCCTGTTGTGTAGCCAAGCTGAACAATTCAAAGGTATCTTTCCCTGCTAGAATAAAAAAACCATTATGCTGGAGAACTGTCATTGTAGTTTTTAATTAAATCAGCCTTTGCTATAGGATAGTGTGTGGGTTAAACCAGATCAGTTTTACATCTTTACATGGCATATATTTCTTAAACTAAACAATGGTGGCCTTATTAACACGTACATTTTCCTGTTTGGCCTAACTGGAGAAAACAGCAATCTGTTCAAACAGGAAGTTGCAGGGTAGTGATTGTTTATTATTTTTCTATGCATTTACTACAGACCGTTTCTGAAATTGTTTCATAACAGATGAAATGTCAAGTTGATTCGAAAGCTTTTGATCTGAAGATTTGTGCATGTTACTAAGCCTTTTTTCCTCAGTAGAGAGGGGCATGATAGGCCTCACAAAATAGCCTTTATTTAGCAAAGCCTGGATGGCGTGAATGGCTCCATGCTCTGAATAGCAAAACATTACATAAATAGCCTTTTTTGGCATGTATGGATGTCTGCAAGCTGTCAAACCAGTGACAACATGGTTTCCATAGGAACTAATGTATTCAATTAAAAAAATTGAAACAACCCCCCCATGCACAAAAGCCTAACAATGATAGACAGTTGTTCTACGTCTAATGCAAAATATGCAGTGGTAGTATCATGTGAAAGTTTTATTTCCACTTGTTTGAGAAGGGCATCTCTGATGCCTATGAGTAATGTTGTTATCTGAAGCACATGGCATTAAAGTCTTCAACCATGGAATCATGAATTTCCATGATTCCAAGAAAAATCTTTGCTTAAAAATGGATTAAATTACATGGCTACTTGTAAACTATAGAGGGAATGAACTGTTATCTCTAGGAGTACTTGAGTTAAAATCAAGCTTGTCATCTTCTCAAACCAATTTATGATCTCTAACTGGAGACCTGGTGGGGGGGGGGTGTGATGTGTATGCCTATTGACACTTCTCTATTTGTAAGCACTTAGACCTGATTTTTCTTTCTGCCTGTTTCTTTTCCAAATTACAGACTTGGATACATGTGACTGTTATAGTTGGTAGCATCTTATTTTACTTTATCTTTGCACTGACTTTTGGAGCAGCCTGCAAAACCTGCAATCCACCATCAAATCCCTATTGGATCATGCAGAAACACATGACAGACCCAGTGTTTTATCTTATCTGCGTCCTTGCTACTTGTATTGCTCTGATGCCCAGGTACTTTGTTATTTTACAGTTGCAAGTTACTGGTATCAGTTAACTTAAATTTTGTTGAGGCTTTGGTCTTATAAATAGGACCTACTGAAATCGTGATTTCACAGTTTTTGCAAAAACCAGCATTGCCTGAAAAAGCAGCCAGTGCCTGTGAAATTCCCAAATCCGTGGGGGGGGGAAAAAAAGCTTACTGAAAAGAAAATGATGGCTCCCCAGAAGGAGCCAGCTATCCTTGGGGTGCTATGGCAGCTTGTCCGGGGGGAGGGAGAAGAGGGAGCTGCCTACTTGAAGGGTTGCCGGC